ATTGTTTCTTTTTAAGTAAATTAATTAATTATCTATTTATAGATTTATCTAATTTACGCAAAGTAAGGCTAATTACTTTTTTGTATAAAAGAACCGATATTCCTTTATTATTGTTGTTGTTATTTCAGTTCTCTATTTTTTACACCAATTCTTTCGTTGATATATAACATATTCACTTCCCATCATTCCTTTTCACTTTCCCATCATTCCTTTTCCCTTCCCTCAATCAATCGCTCACTCTTACACCCTCTATTCCCTCAATCTCACCCTCATACATAAAAACATATAGATACACTATTAGATAAATACATACAAAATGAAATTTACTTCTAGATTATTTGGTACCGGTATTCTAGCAGCTTCAGCAGTTTTATTATTATTCACCGCAACATCGGTTAATGCATGTGAAGAAGATTGCCGTGTAGGAATTTCTCACGCATTTGCCGACAAGTATGCTCTTGAGATTGCTCCAAAATTTAATTCGTTTAACGCTAGTGTTAACAAAAACATTTTCAAAAAATTCAACGTTACGGACTTTGTAGCCTCTAATAAAGTCAAAAAATTAAAAACTGGTGTTTTATCAGCTTTAACAAAAAAAATCTCAACTTTAAAAAAATCATTTATAACCAGTCTCACTCCTTTGATTCAAAAATCAATTTTCGAACAAAAACCAAAATTCAAAGGTCAATGCCAAGTACCAGAAAGAGTTAAACAACCACCACCTGGTGTACCATGGAAAGAGGGTGATTGTGAAAAACAAGATTACATTTGTGGAAATCCTCCTGCTATTTGCCATTTTATGAATTCAATTGTCAAGCCACGTAACATCAAGAATGTTATAGGATCGCTTAGTTCAAAAGAGGGTCCTTTCTTTAACACTTTAAATTCTGAAATCAAGAAAGTAACTGCCAAATTCGTTACCAACAAAAATAAATTAAATGGCCTTAATAGTGCACTTGCTAAAAATCTTAAAGGGCTTTTGGCTCGTTTTGTTAAAGACTTTAAAGCAAAATTCTGTAGTGGAACAACCTGTGACAAATATGATAAAAAAATCAAAAAACTTCTTTTGTCTTTCCCTTAATTTAACCATCAGTTTTATAATTTAATATTTTCAATTCACTCTTTTTTTTTAAATAACAATAGCGATAAATGTTATTAGTAGGTTAATAAATAAAACAATAAAGGTCAATAATAATAATAAAGTGAATAACACTAAAGCAAATAATATGGGCATGCTG